ATTTACATAACTAACTAACTGATCCAAGATTAAAAGCAAGTGTTTGAATATAATACACTTACGTTAAAGATATATAAGGAGTGATAATAAAACCAACACCCTCTACTGACATAGAAATGGCACTAACAGATATAACAGAGACATGTGTAAGAAAATATAATGCAGTAAAGGATCACAAATGTGGTGACATGCACCAAAATCCAATATCCACAAGGATGAGGGAATATTTGATGTGTTGGATGAAGATAGACCTATATGAGACATGGAAGCTAACATGGTAGTTGGATTGGTAGCTAAGAACTGTCTAAACTGCTCAGCAATATGTGGATTCAAGGATGATGTTGTGTGAAATCTATTTCATTCTCAACTGAAGGTGTAGCAGCAACGTATTGTGGTGGCCTAAAAGATGGAAACAAGTGACGTGACTGTCTAAAAGACTTGTTCTACTGTGAAGACTGAGACCGTGCTGGTGATCTTGTTTGTTGTTACTACTCATTTCCCTTTCTCTTCAGCAAAGGACAATTTTCCTTCCAATGGTTCTTCTTCTTATAGAAAGCACACTCATCAAATGCAACTATGTGACGATTTTGATTTGAAGACTGATGTCGTTGTGGAACATCAACGATAACAAGATGATTGATGTATAGTGCCATCAGATCCTAATATTTGTTTAAAATCATTGGAGGGAAATTCTCCTCCCAAATCACACTAAAAACATTTTATGAAAGTAGAGTGTTGAGTCTTAACAAGAGCTCTAAATTCATTATATATGGTGAAAAAGTCAGACATGCGCTTTATAAAATAAACCCACGTATAACAAGTGTAATCATCAATGGATGAAAAATAATATTTAGAGGTGATCGGAGAGGGACCCCACTCATCAGAATGCACGATATTAAAGGATGCAACAGAACGAGTGACATTTTTATTAAATGGTAAAGCAGGAAATTTCCTAGTTTACAACCACAACAAAGAGAAATATAATCAAATTTCAAAGAGCCTAAACCAAAAACTATAAATGAGACGCTGACACCTGCCAAAAAGAGAATGGCAAAGATCAAAAACAAATGATGAAGGGTTTAAATGAAAAGAATACAAATCAATACTAGATGCAACAATATCAACAACGTGTAGTTGCTCTAAAACATAGAGCTCCTCATCTCTACAGCCTATCACAATCACCCTCTGAGATCGAATATACAACATAATGAATTAGAAAAGACGACCTAACAACAAATTTACACAACTGACTGGCCGATGCAAGATTCAAAGCAAGTGTAGGAATGTAATACACATCCGTTAAAGATATATAAGGAGTGACAATAGAACCAACACCCTGTACTGACATGGATGTAGCACTAGAAGACATAACATATACATGTGTATGAGAAGATAATGAAGCAAAAGATGACAAAGGTGGTGACATGTGATGAGATGCACTAGATTCCAATATCCACAAGGATGAAGGAATACATGACCGATTGGATGAAGACAGATTTGAATGAGACATGGATGCTGACATGTTAGTTGGATTGGTAGCTAAGAGCTGACTGAAATGCTCAACGATCTGTGGATCCAAGGCTGATGGTAGTGTGAAATCTGTTTCATTCTCAACTGAATGTGTAGCAGAAACATATTATGGTGGCCTAAAATATGAAAATGAGGGACGTCACTATCCAAAAGACTTGTTCTGTTGTGAAGACTGAGGTTGTGATGGTTATCTTGTTTGCTGTTGCTTTTGATTTCCGTTGCTCGTAAGCAAAGGACAATTTGCCTTCCAATGGGTCTTCGTTTTACAGAAAGCAGACTCATCAAATGCAACTCTAGGAGGATTTTGCTTTGAAGACTGAGGTCATTTTGGAATAGCAAAAACAGTAGAAGTGCCTGTTTTGGGAGCTTGTCAGCATACGACTTGATACGAGTTTTAGCAATCAACTCATGAATAACCGAATAAACAGTGGGAAAAGGTGATTGTGTATGATGCAAGATGGATCCACGCAGACCTTTAAAATCTATACATAATGCCACTAAGAACTAAACCAAACATTGCTCTTCCCTTCTATCAATATAAGGTTTAAAAGCCTTCAACACATCTGGTTTTGTAAGAGCTAAATGATCCTACAAATCCGACATAGTTGCGTAAAATTCCAGAACACTGGGATTGTTCTTTTGGAGGGCTTGAATATCAAACTCTTTCAGATGCTGCTTTGCAAAGTTAGACTGAGTATAAAACCTAGCCAAGTGATCCCAAACCTCCTTTGTTGTGTCATACTTCATCAATTGAGTACCAATAGACTGGATAATAGAATTATTAATCAAAGTAATGTTCTTGGAGTTATTAGTCTCCCATGAATCCAGTAAGGTTGCATAATTATCAACCTTATCGTATGTTGGTTTCTTCTTGTCACCTGTAACAACCCCCACATAGTGTTGCCTCGCAATAATTTTTTCATAACATAACTCCAATAGGCATAGTTTTTGCCATCAAGTTGAATACTAATGGACTGAAAAAAATCGTTTCTTGGGGCCATATTTCAATATCAGTTAAACATTAAATACGAGTAGCAGCAGAAACAATCAAGATCTCGAAATCAACAATGACAACAGACGAAACGAAACCCTCAAAACCAACAAATAAACAAATCAAATCAAAACGAATACAGAAACGAGAAAGAAAACCATACCCAAATTTGGAACAGTGTCGATGAAGAGTGCATGTGAACAGTGTAATGAATAATACCGTGAACAATACTCGACGAACAGTACGTGAACCATGCTTGATGAATAGTGTTTGATGAACAGTACCAAATGAAAAATGTTCGATGAACAGTATCGATAAACAATAATCGGTGAACGGTACCGATGAATAGTAGTCGGTGAACTGGACCGACGAACAGTAACTCACCCCACAAAACGAAAAGTACAGATAATTAACCGACCTCTGATACCATGTAAAAACATATAATAGCTAGGATTTCGTATTATTATCAAAGAAAACTACAAATACAATGAAAGGGAAAGACATAATATATAGATTAGGTAATTAGGGTTTCCTAGCTAAAAGACCTAATCATAAAACCCAATACAAGATAAAGCCCAAAATCTTATTAGGCTAACACTATTTATATCATTTTTCAATTCTCAAAGTAATCATTGGGTCGCTTATTGGATTATATAGGACCCATCCTTCTCTTCCCTCGCAAGTTAATGATTTTAGAGAAGAATGCAAAGGTTGTTGAATGAAGGAGAGACTTGCATCAATGGAAAAAACTTGCTCATGAATACTTGCTAAAATGTCTCAAATATCTCAATGATAACAACCATCTAGAAAGCTTCTATATGAGGAAGTGTTCCTAAGGGCATCCACAATCCATTGAAATCTATTGAGTTCAATGGATTGCCACATCATTGCCATATCGACATTTCATTTTTTATTCAACTATACTCTTTAACATCCACATTCCATTAAAGTCTACAAAGTTTAATGGATTCTTATATTTGGTTTGAAATTTAATTTAAAAAGAAAATATTAAATCCATTCAACCACTCAATGATCATACAACTCTCTCATTCAACTCTCCTCCATATCATCAATGACACTCCATTAAACATCTATTCAATTCTAGTCATCATCTATTCAACTTTTATTAATCCCCCATTGTGGATGTTCTAATGATGCATGTTGGTTAGGGTTTTATTCAAGAGATAGCAACGTACTTTCGTTGATTTGTTTGCTATAGCATCCTATTTTCATTACTTATTACAACAGTTGTAGATTTAAAAAAACTATCAGATTTATAGCAAATAAAAGTATAATGCTATAATATAAAGAAGTGAAAGTAGGTTGCCATTTTTTGAATTTACCCCTTTATACTTAATTTTTTATTATTTATGGAATAGGAAGATGGTTTTAATGGTAATAAGTACCGTTTTTGATACAGTTTTGTACGTGTTCATTATGTTCATGTTAATTTGGTTCCACTGATAATAATATTCATGTCAGTTGGAACCTCAAAACATTACATCTAATCATGAAGTCCTTGTAAAAGAATAATGTGGATTTTAACTTTATTATTATTATTATGTTTTTGTAATTTAGATGTTAAAAGATTAAAATTGATTTTTAAACAACCACATGATTTATGTTGTCGAGTTGTGGGGAAGTTAAAGAAAAGATAGAGAAATCAAATCAGCAAAGCTTGTCTCTAAAATCAATCTATAAGGACTTAATGGTACTTATATCTCCGACTAACAACTCTCGGTCACAATCATAGGTCTCGAATCCACACTTATAGATGCCTTCTTCAACATAGATGGAGACTATTTTTAGTGTTATGCATATAATGTTGAATATGGATATATAAAATATGTATTTAACGTATGTCGAATATTGAAAAAAAATTACTTTATATTTGTTGGTTTTAAAATATGGATTTGGTCTATGCTTTTAGATTCTTCTTTGTTGAATATATAATTGTTTTTAAATTTTTCATTAACTTATAAAAAATAATTTTATAATGCTAATATTCGTTGGTAGTCTATCATACATAATCTGTCGGTAATCCATTAGGGAGTTATTCCATCGGTAATATGTTGCAAACAAATTCTGACGGTATCTGTTGCGAAAATATTTCCGTCGGTGATCGGTTATAAATCACCTACGGAAAAATCTGTCGCTAATATTTTCCGTGGCCATTGGAAATTCGTCACGACAATTAACAACCAATATATCCCGACGCATTTGGCTCTGTTGCAATTTCGTCGGTAGACAGATTACCGACGGTTTTGGTGGTCGGTAACGCCCATTTTTATATTAGTGTGTATGACAAATAAACAAAATCGGGACTGTGAATTAAACAAATGAAGCTTATGCACAAAATCTGCATTTATTGAGAAAGTGTAACGACCATTGATGTAACTTAATCCAAAAGTTAATTAGATTAAGAGTAACATTATAAGATCGAACTATAGTTAGCCCAAATTCAATACGCAGTGTGGCTTCAAGTACTGAGCGTCAACAACGAGACCTTTGTTTTAGCGCAGCCATAAGCCTCGCAATAAGCTTGTGATGTTAACAGGAACACTGTTGCAAGGCTGATGATGAAAGCTAAAATCTTCAACGAAGCTCCTGCAAAAATGCTAATAGCTCTTAAAACCAGCAGCAACCAATATGATACCTTCCTCATAAGCACGTACAACATCCTCCGCCTACTTTCATAAACTCTGTTAACTTCGACTATCTTTTCTTGCAACACGGATTTCTTTCTGGTTTTCACAGTCTGTGTAGAAGTACTCATCCCAATGAAGAATTTAGCAACTTCATCCTCACGCAAGTCACCACCGATAATTTTCTGTCTTTTAAGAAGCTTGACATCATTTACATTCGTGATAAGCCCACACATCAACCCCACGTATTCAGTAAGTGGGAAGCTATCGGAATTGGCCTTTATCATTTCGTACGCAACTAAATTTCTTAATATAACCTCTGAGTCCGTATGCAAAGTAATACAAGGAAGGGAAATATCCTTCCCTTTACTATCTATTTTCCAAAAGCCTTCGTCTTTTGGTAAGAGGTGAAACTTGAATCCAGCTCCATGTAGTTTAGAAACTGAAGGGATTTCAGTTTTATCATGAGAGAAGGTTTCTAGTGATGTCACGGTTTTTTCGTATAATGGAAAGACCTTTTCCCAAGGAATTTTTTGTACGAAGTTAACAATGGGGATATTCAGTTTTCCTAAAGAAGTATCGATAAGTGGTTCTCCAGAAGGAAGTAAGACGCCCTTTTCCTCTTTAGAATGCCAGGCACCTGCTTCCCCCATGCGATAAACAAAGGTTGGTTTTTTGTGAGGCATCTGATTAGCCTTTTCAGGGATATTGATCACAATCGAACAATACATATAATGAAGCAGGTGGTCTACAAGAGTAGGAGCTTGTGATGGTGAGCACAACTCAAGTGGCGAATGTGTGTCACAAAAAGATCGATATATGGAAGGAGAAAAGTCATAAACTGAATCGATAGAATCACCTGAAGATGGATGCAAAGCCTTATCAAGTTCCTGCAACACCATAAAAGGGATTTGGTTTTCGACCATCATTAGATCCTGTGCGAACAATCTTCTTGTCGGATCAACTTCCAAAGATATTATATGTTCATGTGATTCATTCTTCTTCTCTTCTAGTTCATTTCTTTCCTCATGATCATAGTCCACACCATTGTTGTAGGTATGGAAATGATAAAGCAAGAAGAGACCATCAATGGCCAAAATCCAGGCCAAATAAAAGTTATCATCTTGGAGGAATGTCTCGTAGCATGCTCGGATGGTTGGAATAAGGCCGTATAACTTTTGAATGATCTGTTGATGAAATTTATAGCCTTTCCAGTCCTGTAGTAGCCTTTTTGCAGCAGTAAGTTTTCTTTGTTCCATCTTCTTATAAGGCCATGGCTGAAAATGATATTTTGGCCCCAACCCTATCTGTTGTGGTTCATAGGCTCCAGGCTTTTGTTTGATTATGTTTTCAGGTATTAAAAAGATGGAAGCAGAAGGGTTTTCAAGTTTGGTGTCGAGTTGTGAATAAAAGATCATACTAATTTGTTGGTACCATTCTGACTCTTCGGACTTTGGGATCAATATTGGTTCAACGGAGGCCATTTGGATGTGATAAAACTTCACACTTATGGTCTACCTAGGATGAATGAACAATGTAATGCGATGTTTTTATATACGAAAAATAGACTTCGATATTGGTAATAATTATTCATCCACCTTGGTGGTCTACTTTGGTGGGCTATTGGAGTCAAAAAAAATAGTTATTCAATTAAATTTTTTATTCATCCACCGAATCATGCGATACTTCTTTATTAAAAAGATGATGGGTTAGTGTACTGTTGATAAAATTACGTTTACGCATATAAGGCACATGCTACTTTTAATACTCGAAAGCAGCATCTAACTTTAATTATTCATATCTATATAATTCCATATGTTAACATACTCGTTTATTTTTAGTGATTTCATGATTTAATTACGGGCGCTATATTTCCACTTAAGAATTCTATCGGATTACTTAAAAAAATATTGGACTTTTTTATCCCTGAATCTAATATTGAAGGGATAGAGGAGGATCAGTGACTTTTTTATCACTTAGTCTGCCTCGCTCGTTGTCGTTTGCTATTGTTTCATTGCCTTTGGCCGCTGCTTCACACCTCCCGGTAAGAATCCAATTTGTTCTTTCCTTCGCACCATTTATACAAACCTCGAATGCTCAATGACATACACACACGCACCTAGGAAGTTTCTAAGGCTGGAGGGAGTGGTGCCACCGAAATCGCACTCCCTCCGTCGCCACGTAGGCGCCACATCACTTTTTACCACTTAAGTGTGCTTTCTTGCCACACCAAGGGTGTGGTGCCACAGTTTTAGTTTTTTTTTTTTTTTTTTTTTTTTTTTTTTTTTTTTTTGTTTTTTTTTTAACTATTTTAATTTAATAAAACTTATTTTTTAATAAAAAAACATAATTTTAAAGACATAATATTTCATTAATTAAAAATACAACTACCATACATTACTTAATTTAAAAAAAAAAAAAACCTAAAAATTTAGAAAAACAAAGTAGAAACAAAAAACCAACAACTTAAAAAAAACACACAAGAAACTATTAAAAACTTGAAAAAAAAACTAGAAATTAGCCACGATTCATGTAACGGTTTTTCACTTCCTCCTTCATCGCCAAAACCACTTTAAGCTCGGCCCCAGTCATATTCGACGTGTCCATTGCTACTATTCGCATGTCGCTCTCCCTTTGTTTCCGAAGCTCTCTTTCAGAAGCAATTTTCAAAATCTTATTCATTGTCTCTTTTATATCCTTCATATCGGTTCCCATTTCTTTCAAATCATCTGAATCCGACGCTTTGCCTTTGCCTTTGCTTTTTGATTTGTCTGTTCCCAATGGTTGGGAAGGTGGTCAAACTGGAACAAGTTCATCTTCGTTTAGATCAAACTGAACACGAGCATCTGATGTAGTGTGGTCGGACTCAGATGTTCTGCTGCATTTTGACCCACTGTCGATATGTTGGTCAGATGTTTTGTTACTCAGCCATTTCCTGTTATCTTTCAAAAAATTCCAAACTTCAAGAAATTTGAAAGCCTTCAGATTTTCTTTTTGATACACTTTCAACGCTTTCTTCAAAATGACTTGATCGCTTTCTCCACTTTTCCATTGACGTTTCATGTTATTCCACAAGTCATTAAACAACATGACTTCCTTGTTCATCTTCCCCCATTTGGAGTAAACTTGATGTTTTGAACGATATTCTCCACGGTTCATTCCTTTATGAAACCTGTGTAAAACGCGCATCCAAAAGCAGTCATGCTTTTGGTCTTTTCCAACCGTCGCATTTCTGAAATATCGATCCAAGATTGTGCCAACACTAACGCTTCCAAAGGTTCCCAACATCTAGCCTCCGCCTTCTCTTTTCTTTTAGTCGCTGCTCGAGTGGGCTGAGTTTCTGTAACGAATTCCGGTTCAGAATTAGAAACAACCATTTCTGGTTGTGTTTGTGTTTGTTGAACAAACTCGGGTTGGGACAAAAAATCAAACGGAAAAAAAATCAGAAACAACCATTTATGGTTGTGTTTGTGCTTATAATCAGACCTAATTTAACATGCTCGTAGTGTTTCTCCTCTAGCTTCCTATCGCAGATATGTTATCTATAGGCCATGTAGCGTTCTTGGGATGTTGGTAAAAATCATCGTCTTGAAACTCATTCTCTTTTTTTCTTTATCTCTATCATGATTATGTGGAGATTTATGGTTCCTTTTATTTGTTTTTTTAAACTGAAAGATCGAAATTTTTAAGATGTCTTTTAATGTATTTTATCTTAGTAACCAGTCCTAGGGTTTCTACCATCCCAGGGCAATAACGAGCTCAGATCTTATATGTGATTCACGGAAGTGAATCTAACTACATGAATCTTATCTCCTTCTTTTATATCTATACTATATTATACAAATCTTTGGGTTTTTACTCATTTTAGTTGTTTTTCCCCATATTTCGACTTCTATCCCGGCATCCCCAAATAAGAAGAGTTTTTAACACCATCCCATTTTGGGTTGTTTTCTTTTGGTTTTTATGTTTTCAAATACAGGTCCATAAGGAGGTAAGGCTCTCCTATTTTTTTCTTATTACGAGTTTTAAGCTATATTATTTTGTTCAACAAATCCATGTATATCTGTGTGTATGTGTTTATTGAAAGTGTAGGTGTGTTTGTGTGAGCTCTCATATTTTTTCTCTAATTATCATTTTCAAGTGAGATATCAATCTTTTCTCTTGATCCTCTCAGAATCAACAAATTCTAGCCAGTTCATCCTCTATATTTTGTTCTTATGTTGTAATGTTCCATGGTTGCTACTGTTGGGGTGTCCAAGATAAGCATTTTTTAATATATGCCTGATTGGAAGCAAGCTGGTTGTTTTCTTGAATTTTTTGGGTGGTTTTTGAGGCTTTTTAATTGTTTTTTTTCTTGAAACAGGGGAAGAATGAGCTAATGGCTTTTATGATGTGTAAGTCTAATGATCTGAAATCATATATTTCTTTATATGTATGTGTTTATCTATTTGGATTTGTGTGTATGTGCTTATTTGATTTTATGTGTGTCTAACTTTATCTATGTGGTTGAACAGGTGTGTGTGTGTGTGTGAATGGTTATTTATGTGTGTGTGAATGGATGTGGATGTTTGTTGTTCTTCATGGAGGCTATTGAACTTCAAGTGAAAGAGAGGTTTAACATGCATGATTTTAGATATGGTACTAATTAAAATTTCTTGCTTCAGTTAATAGCTTTACTAGCTTTGACCTTGTCATTTGAAACTTAAATATAGCTAAAAGGGGAAAGGGAAATAATGATGGGTATTCTTGGAGGGATATCTCAGGAAGGTGACAATTGTGGAGTTTTTCAAGAAAGAAGGATTGGTTCTTCTACCAGATGAGGTAAACCATTATCTTCAATATTAACTATAAGTTCAAATGGGTCTTTTTGTTAATATCTTATTTTTAAACATGGTATTTTTGGATCTGTTGGTTAGACGTCTCTATTTTTATACAAATACTTCATTTACAATTTTCATAAATTATGTCTCTTTATTGATATACATATACCCAACTTCATTTATCTTAATTTTAGCAGGTTACACATACTGATGCAATGTCAATTGTTCGTTTTTGTTGAAATCTGTATCATGTATATTACTCTTATAACATTAGTGATTGAATTTGAATATATACATTTAGCTATTTTTAAGCTATTATATTCACAAATAACCCAAATATATTTTGTGTCTCTACACTTATTCATTTGAGTGGTTTTTGTATTGTTGATGCAGTTGGCAATTGTCAATGCTCAAAGTAAAGGAAGGCGATATATTGTGACAACCCGAAATTTTCGTTCGGTCAAACCCTGAAGTCAATCACTTCAAATTATAAGTCAAGTTCATTTTTATTTTTTGTTAGCAAATTTAAAGTTCTTTTGATTATTTTAATAATTATTCTTTAAACGAACAGGTGAAAGGAAGTGTCGTCTCGAGTCTTGAAATTCCAAAACCGCAAGTACCACGTAGTTAGGAAATTGACGGCCAAACTTTTATGTTTGGGCCATAAATCCTTCCAAAACTGTAAACTCATGCCTTAAGCATGAGTTTACTCTCCAAAATACCTCATTTCTTACTTGCAATCTCAAGAGCAAACTCCAAACACTCTCAACTACCATCCCGTCTTTCACCCGATTTCCCAAAAACGTAAGTACTTCTTGGCTTGATTTGTTGTTATATCATAACCACTAGTGATTATACATCATTTCATCCATTCAATTGTTCATTTTCATTAGATCTTCAAAACACCAAGAACACACACTAGTGTTCTTGGACCTTAAACACCCAATCGAGCTCCGATCTTGTAAGTGCACTTCTATAGCTTCTTGTATGCTTAGTATGACCCTTATAACACTTGAAAATCATCAAATAACACAAGAACAAAGGAGTTTACTGCCTTTTTAAGTGGTAAAATGGACATTAGTCCCTTCCGAAGCCTTGGATGCCAACCTTGAACCTTCCTAGAAATGTTTAAGACCTTAAACAACAATCAAAACATGTCCCTAAGAGAGTTTACAACACATAAGAATATGATCATTTGGCCGTAAACTCCACAAGGTGGTCTTATTATGCCCCTAATGCTTTCCTAAGGCTTGGACTTGATCATTTGATGCCCAATGATGACTTGTAAGACCTCAAAACACAATTTGGCACTTAGTACCATCAGTTTACGACCCTAAACTCATGGGGAAATGGTCATGGGCGGCAAACTCCATTAAGGGGTGTTAATAGGCCATAAACTCCAATGCTATGTCATACAACCCTTAGGTGCAACCCTTTGGTACCTATAACACTTGAATCAAAGTGTTTCCATGACCTAGGGTGTCTTAACTTGATTAATTAGTTATTAATTGACTAATTAGATTACATATATGTTTATTATATGATAACTAGGACCATTGTGTGTGTTCAAGTCCTCACTTGACACCTAGCACCTTGTCCGACACTTCCGAACAAACCACTCACTGCGGGTGAGTTCATACCCCTTGAATTAACCTTTTAAATTT